GTGGGGGGGTAAAACACACACGCACATAAGTCACGCGCTCGCACCCACGGCGCTATGAAGGTGGCGGGAGATAGGGCCCGGGAGGTTGGGTGGTGGAAACACACACGTAGCAGCACAGAAATTTTTAGAGCTTTTAGACAGCAAACACCACTCAACCAACTTTTTCCCTTCTTCTTCTGGGGAAATATAAAGACCAGCGCGCGCTATCGCTCGCTCACTGGCTTACCTGCCACCAAAAGGATGAGTCCAGGGAGCCCCACTCCGAGACCAAGACCCAAACCAAGATCCCGCCGTCGCTTCGCCGCCGCCGCCGCCTGCGCCTCCGCCGCTACCCTATCGGCATTCAGACCAAACGAATCCACGTATGCCGACCGCTGTACATTGCCGTACCCTGCACTGCCGCTGGCGATGTTGGCGGATGGTAGAGACTGTACCGACGGTGCAGGCGCCGCGGGTGCTGCCGCCGCCACCGCCGCCGCCGGCGGCGGCGGAGCGAATGGTGACGACAACGCTCCGCCAGCAGGGTTGGCGGCGGTGGTGGCGGCGAAGGGATCTGCTACGGAACCTATGATGGCGGCATTAGGCTGTTGCTCTTGTTGCTGTAGCGGTTGCTGTAGCAGCTCGGGGTCTAATGGAACGCACGGCAGTAGCTCAGCGGCGTCGTACGCCACCGGTACGGCAGAGCAGAATTCAGTGGCGGCATCAGCGCCGGCTCCCGGAGGAGTCCCGGCAGCGGCGGCTGTGGCGGCGGCCGCCAGTGCGGCGGCGGCGACATCGTCGGGCGGTGTGAAGCAATCGTAGAACGTTCTGTTCGAATTGATGTCGCGCATTTCATCCAGTGAGACGTGTTGTGCATATTGAAAGATGGCTTGACGTGAGTTCAATTAATAACAAGAGTGAAATTACGATAGTGATTACCACTCAAGAATGTACGGCACAGGTACGGCAGCATACATCTTTTTGGCGCTACAGCCTCCTATTTTCGTGGTTTTAGAGCTCTCAATTTTCTCCCCAAACCCTATCCCTGGGGGCCATCACTCACTCGTTACGAAAGGTGAATGGCAACGAACACGGTAGTCCGCTAACGGTTGTCGTACGTGGTCTCGGAGCGCAGGGTTCCATGCGGCCCTGGGGGTTGAGACAGCTGCCCGGAGGGGGACCCACACAGTCGTACACAGGCTGCGGCGAC